CCTATTTAACATACTGACCTGAGTTGAATTGCTTCTGTTTCATCAATAATATTGACCATTAAAAAAAACAAACATGCTTACAGAATGAATTCTTTGTTTTTGGAAAAGGGAAAATGTTCTCTATAATGCAAGAGTAAGATGTGAAAATTCATCTCCACTACATTGATGTATCAGTATCAATCTCTAGAAATAGCAAGATCCACCTCATGCATGCTACAAGCTCTAAATTTAACTTTCCTGCCTGAAGATTTTTAAGTGAGACTTGATAATCAGTATGGCTGGAGACTGTAGGCTATGGAGAGAAATATGAACCCAGTTGTGAGCTGCAGAGATGTTTTGTCTTGAAAGCTGCTATAACAGCAGAGCTGGTGTACAGAAAAATCCCTGGCAAGGCTTTGCAATGCCCACAAGGCGTTTTTGGTTTTGGAGAAGTTGTCTGCTCATCATCATCAGGGAATCAGAGCTGAGTTTAGACTTCCTAGAACTCTGGAAAGAAGCTAAACCACAAGTTGTTTCTTGACACCAGTGCCCACCAGGGACCAGGGATGGAGGATCCATCTTCCCTATTCTTAGACATGTACAATGATGGGGAGTAATTTTGTTTTTGTTTTACAGTGAATGTTAAGAAAAAAGTACAGAAATGATATTATTCATCACATTTGTCTAAAACGGGCCTGGTGAAATCCACCCTAGGTCTTCACAGAACCTATTTCCTGAAGGTCTGTACCATGCAAAAGTGGTTTCATTGCTTTCTGACCCCTATCAGTGCATAAAAACTTTATAGTTCCTGAGCTACTAAAACTCTCCAGCTTATTCTGGCTTGTAGCCATGAGGCCAACTTGTTTTCTCTGCATGTTTGCTGTGGTAAACACAAACCAGCAAGATGTAACAGCTTTGAGAGGGGAATAAACAATTTTCTGGTTCAAAAGACACAGGGCATCTGAAATAATTGTTTGGGTTTGGGCTTTTTTTTTGTTCTCTTTTTTTATATATGCCAGTAATTTAGGGAATGTAAGTTTTATGAATGCGTATGCTATTTTATTCTTGCTGCTTCACTGCTGTTTTGTAGTTTGAATGCCATAAATAACCATTTAAATACTTCTAAGATAAAAGCTCTCCGTGATATTCATTCCCCTGTTTCTTTTTTTCATCATGATGTGAGTATTTATGCATATTTGAGAAACTGATGATCTTATAACCTCCTTTTCTTTAGCTCATGCATGCTTGGTCTGCTAGTCTTAAATGAACTCTCTAAAATGGAAAAACAGACTCCTGAGAAAGCTCAATAAACCTAGGAATTGGTGTGAGTATATCATGCGTATAACATGTCTGAAAGAGCTGAGCTATTTTTTAGCATCCTATTCCATAAAACTGTGTCCTGAGTTAATGTCATTGTACTTTGAACAAATAATTTCCATTCTTCCATCCTTCTCTCCCTGGAAAATTATTTGTGAGTGTCCCCAGTGGGCATTAGATAAAAGCAAATGAATGTAAAGATCTTCAAAAAGACAAGACTTTAGGAGAAAAGGTGCAACATCAAGATTGGTTTGCATGTAATTTAAATCACTGAATGGGTTCATATGCCAAGGTATTTAGGTGGTTTAAGTGGCATTAATGGTCTCTGACTGGAAGTTAGCTCTGCTATACATAGCGTCTAGTCCTGTACAGGCATAGCTTGTTTCTGGTCTCCAGTGTTGTAACAGTTCAGACAACCCTTTTCAGAAGTTACCTTTGTGTTCTCTGTAATAAGATAAGATAATATCTAAACTTCCTGCTTGCACCTTCTGCTTTTCATTTAAGAAAGTCCCCTGAGGTCTTTGTCTGGCTGTTATACAGTTCTCTGGAGAGTCTGAATTTATCCCATTTCTGAGCAATGCCTTTCTTCATCATGTGGCAGACAACGATACAAATCCTGATTATACAGCAAATACTTCATAAGGCTAGTGGTAAGCAGAATTTATGCCATAGCATTATAAAAATCAAATAATCTACATGGATATTTTTAAATTTAGTATGTATATAGATTGATATACATATATACAGACAGCAAAAATTGTAGACTTAAAAATTCTGGAAAACATACCTTACTGTATGGGAAGTTACCTGCCTCATTATGCTCAGAAGTAGGTTTATTGATGAAGTCTATATGGAAGACATATACAATATTCTACTATATTCCATATTCCATATTTCTTACCATAGGGTGAGATGTGTCACTTGAAGTACTTGCATTGATTAAGCAGACTTGATAAAGGTACCTACCTAGAAACTTCTATTTCTTTTTTGAGAAAGTCTAGAAAATTTAATGGGTCACCAGAGGACAAGCATATACAGCCCAGGCCCTGAGGAAGACCTTTGGGAGTCCTCTGAAAGGAAGCATGCCCTAGACTAGCTCAAATTGTACTGAATACCACTAGATTGAGTCAAGTAAGCACCTAAGGTATCTAAGCTCCCTCACTCCCCTCAGTATGGTCCCTTATGGTAAAAAGAGAAGTGATTTAGTTCCTATTGGTGTTATCTAGAGCCACCTCAGACATCTCAGGAGATCATAACTGTCCTCCAGCTGTCTTTTCATAAGGCCAAGGGTATTCCACATGTTCTATTGCTGGTTCCCTATGGATAGCTCACATTCCCTCAGGCATCTCAAATGGCAGGTGGCTTCTGTGGTACAGCTATTGAATTGTACTCCAGATCTCCAGTGTTTATAGTTTTAACTTAACCAGAACAATTAGTTCAGATGGAGACATTTGCATATAAGCACCTACAGGTAGGGATCTTTATCTTTGAGCTAAATCTCTGCCTAAGTGCAGGATTCATTTGCCTGAGGACACTTCTGCCTCCACGTGACTGAGATGCTCTGGACTATGTAAGGCATCCATATGGAAATATTTGTACAGTTTTATACACATACATCTACAGATTTGTTACTTATTTCTCATGAAATTACCAGGAGAGAGATACCTTTATTCCCAGACAAAACCAAATCAAAGCAAAAAGCCCCAAATCTGACTTTTAGTCTATGTAGGAGTTGTGCACACATGGGCACCCTCCAAACGGGAGGTGTCCAATGCTCATAAACACAGACCATGTTGAATTTCATATTACCAGGGAGAAGAGTTCAGCACCTCCCTCTCCACTTCCCCGCTTCAGGAAGCAGTAGAGAGGTCACCCCTCAGCCTCTTTTTCTCCAAACTAGACAAACCCAGTGTCCTCAGCCGCTCCTCATAGGAGTATGTCATTGGAGATCCTGTCAATAAAGATCCCTTCACATCACATTATTGTAGACGTTTAGGGTCTTAGTTATCCAAGGATAGGTATCTGGTGCTGCTTAAGATATCAGTATAAAGTATCAGTCTGGTCTCCATGTAGATCTTTGAAAGGTCTCCCATTTCTGCTGAATCTCCTTTAGCTCCATGTAGATCTTGTGGTTCCACAAGGATGCCTCCAGTGATACCAAATGCCTAAGTTTAGGAAATCTCTTCTAGTTCCCAGTGCATATGCAGCCCCTTGCATACAGAGACCCAAGCTCACGTGTCTGAATTTGGAGTTAAATCTCACTTAGGTGTATGCAACTAACTGGTGAACAGTTCATGTGCTGCTATCCTGGATATATCACAAAGTACATGCTCTGGCCCCTTGTCTAAGGTGTTCACTTCAGAAATAGTGGAAGCTGTGTTAAAAAATGCTTCTCTTTTGAAACTAGTTCCTACACTGAGTCAGCACTAACTCATAATATATACATATCTGTTTTTCTCAGGTCAATTTACAGTCCATTCCCCTAACAATGTTGTCATCCAAGCTGTTGGAGAAGATGCCATCCTGCCTTGCTACATCTCTGCCCCTAGCATCCCTGTCAGCCTCACTGTCCAATGGATGCTTGTTAGAGCTCTGAAGATAATAGAAATTAGTTCTTTCAATGGAAGAAGTGAGGTGGAAAGGCAAGGGAAGAGCTATGAGGGTAGAACAGCATTTTTCAAATCCCAAGTAAGGAGGGGAAACCTATCCTTGAAGCTTAGAAACATCCAAGTCTCTGACAAAGGGAAATACACCTGCAAGGTTGCCTATTCCAATTGGTACAGGGAGACCTACATAGAACTCGATGTGACAGGTCAGTGCCTGGGTATCATTGATTGCAAGTAAGTAGTCTCTCCATGTCATGATAAGGTGAATTCCAGAAAGACCTGTTATCTTTCAAAATGCTTCCTTTCATACCAACAGAGATGGGAAAATGGGTTGACTGGAACACTATTTCAGCCAGTAGGCTGAGTGCCCATGTGAAATACAACCAGATTTTAAAAATCAATCAAACAAATATAGTAAAGAGAATATTCTAGGCAGGAAGTTTGGGCAGCTAAGCTATGATCCGAGTGGTTTGAGCCCAGAGAGCAATGGAGTACCATGCAGCTGCTCACTCACTCCTTCCCCTTCAGGGATGGTGAGGAGAAAATACAACAAAAGGCCTAGGGAACGAGGTAGAGAGAGGGAGGGATGACTCACTCATTATGTTCATGGGCAAAAGACAGACTCGACTGGGGAAGAACATCAATTTAATTTAAACACCACTAACAACACCACTTAATTTACCAATCAAACAGTAGGACAGTGATAAACACAATCACATCTTAAAAACACCTTTCTCTCTCAGCCTCAAGTGCTGTTCAGAGGACAGCTAAGAGTGATTTCAGTTGCCTATAGATAAAGGCCACTTTATGTGTTGTATGGGATGCAGATTTCTTCAGGAGCTGGAGACTACCACCCTGGTCTTGATATGTGCCATAGAAGTGCTTATCTCTGTCTTTCCACTGAATCCTCATCTTCTAAGTGTATAAATACATTTCCTTTGTGTCTTGACAGCTCCATACAGAAGCTTGCCTTTGAGATCTCCTGTTATTGGAGTCATTGGAAGAGATGTTCTCTTGCCCTGCCTGTTCTTTACTAATTTTACTGGAAATTTTGTAGTGCAGTGGAAGTTGTTTCACTCTTCCGAATTAATCCACAAGGTTTTCTGTAATGGGCGAATCAAATCAGAAATAAGTGATGGGAGGTATAAGGGTCGAACAGAACTGTCCTCCATTGAACTAAATCGTGGGAACTTGTCTCTAGTGCTGAAAAATGTCACGTACACTGCCAAAGGAGAATACATCTGCAGCCTGAACTCTGAAAGCTGGCATGATGAAACTGTGGTGGAACTGGATGTGACAGGTCAGTAGAATATTTTCTGAGCTCATGTGAGCTGTGTCTTGTGTGAGTGTGGGACCCTTGAAGGACCAGACATAAAGCAAACAACAGCAGAACTGCTAGGAGAAGAACTTAGAAAAATGAATTCATTTTGTACTGCTCTGGGATACAAACATCTTCAGCAACTCAGTGCCTACAAGGCATCCACAAAGGCTGATTTGCAGAGCAGGTTTACATGTCATTGATGCATTCACCTTCTACTCACTACTGAACTGTTCGGTCTGATCAGCCTTGTCTCACTGAATTGCTCAGTGGATCACGCTCAGTGTTTCTGCACTTAGCTCCACTGCACAGTATAGACGTGCCTCAAGTCCATTTTGTGAGCCCACTCATTGTCCCTATTTTGTCAAACTCAGACATCTCTAAGGTCTGCAGCCCAGAAACCTCCAGCTGTTGGAGGTCACTTAGAGAAGAATGTCCTCTCCCCAGGCAGAATGACACAGATGCCCTCTCCTGCTTTCTTGAACAGTTCCTTTAAATGTTGCTGTCTTCACACAGGCCAATTCCACATCCTTCCTCCAAACAACCCAATCATCAGCCTCATTGGGGAAGATGTCATTCTGCCTTGCCAGTTGTCACTCTCTGGTTTTCCCAGGAGCATCACAGTTCAGTGGGTCGCCCTACAGCCTTTCAAGTCACTGAAGGAGATCTCCTATAATGAAGCAGTCAAAGATAGCTGGCTAGAGGAATGAAGCTGGGGAGGCACAGAGCTCTTCCTCAGCCAGTGGAGCACAGGCAACTTGTCCCTAAGACTGAAGAATGTCCAGGTCCCTGACAAAGGGAAATACATTTGCAGTGTAACAGCGGGGAAATGGCATGATCAGGTGGTCGTTAAACTGGAAGTGACAGGTCAGTGTCATCTCTTCTTTCATCAGGAATGCAAGGGTTGGTAGCGAGGCCCATGGCTGATGGACTGGCATTGGGAGGGAATTTTGAGGGGAAAATGTGTCACTCAGAGAAGCTGCTTATAGAGTTAGACACTTTAAGGCAAGTGCATGTCTGTGACATGGCTGGGGAGAACAGTTTGCTCGTTCGGAGCTACGTTGACCTTGGTTTCACATCGGTTAAGAATAATAGCTGCAAATAGGATGAGGCTATTAACATGGAGCAGTAGGAAGGCCAGGGTACTTAACTATCTGTCCCGTACCAGACTTGTAGTAACAGTATGCCCATAGCCAGTGTCCATGAACCAGCTGTCAGGAAGCACAAAGTTACTTAACTTAATCACGTGCAGGTTTATATACTTTCCAAAGAGGAATGTAGTTACAGGGTATTGGCCAAGGTAGAAACCCCTGTGTCAGAATGGCAAGGGAGAGGGACAACTGAGGCCTCTTGGACTAGAATCCAAGTTCTGACAATAACCAAAGCCCTACAAGGTGACATTGTCACTTCTCCTGTGGTAGCATGTTTGTACAGTCAGAAACTGAGACTTTTCTAAACATGAAATGAATTAATTCTCCATACAGATTCATGTAATTCTCAGGATCACTGTGGCTTGACATGTCTCATCTGATATTTTGTGTGCAGTTGCTATTCCAAGCATTCTCTCTTGTACATATGTTGTTGGAGCTGTTGGAAATGACGTGATCTTGGACTGCAGGCTTCCAGCCACCAGTATTTTGGCAAATATTTCTACTGAATGGTTTCTTTCCACACCCTCAGAACTGATTCAGATCATCTCCTACAACGGAAGCACTGGGAAAGGGATTCAAAACAAAAGGTACTGGGGTCAAAAAGAGCTTCCTCAATGGGTACCAAGCAGAGGGGTCTTTTCTTTACTGATAAAAGACATCCAAGTCTCTGATGCTGGAATTTATCTCTGTCGGGTGTCTTCTGGGAAAAGACGACATGAGGAAGCCTTTGGACTAGATGTGATGTGAAACGATTCTATTTAGTTCTCATTGCTTAGTTCTTCCATCTCAGATAAACTCTCATGTTCCTCATCAGCAGAAAATGGAAAATGTAGAGGCTGTTGCTTGCTTCTGCCTGACCTCTAGCTAGCCACAGAGGTAACAATTACATTCCTGCTTGTTTTCCATGGATGCTATTAATGCTTTCTTTGAAATACCAAGTTTTTTGCTATAGCTCGATACCTTCAGAGGCATCCCAGCTAAGATCAGCACCTTGCTGTTCTAAGGGTTGATTTCAACTTAATACATCCTGGTTTTCTTTTCCAAGCAGGTACCACCTTATCATTGCCCACAGCAGGTTGAGTTGGAACTAGATGGTCTTTGAGGTCCCTTCCAACTCAAAACATTCTGTGTTCTATGTGCTGTGTTCTATGTTCTCAGATCAGGTATCTCCAGCTTTCCTAGATTCACATGCACAAGACTATGTGACCACATATATTCCGAATGTCATTGCCACCTTCCTGATGGTTACAGGAAAGGGCCATTGAGTAGTAAAAAGCTTTGAGAAGCAGAGAACAGCCAAGACCACAAGTAAGTAGACAACAAGAGAGGAAGAGTGTCAGGGAAGAGGATAGAATGTTTTTCTTTAGGGATGCCTGCAAGGTGAATCAAACTAGTAATTCTCTGCACAGGCTCCTTTGTTTATACCCCGAGCTCAATAAATTGTATCCATATGAATCAACACAAAATACCCAACACAGTCAACATGACAGTTCACTGAAAGGTCTGTTGGGATTAACTTTGTAGGTGGTGACTGCATTGAGTCATTCATCTTTTTGCTTACATATGACTGAGGCAATGGACAAAGTCAGGGGAACCCATGTCAACAGGGCTGTGTAGCTCTTGTGCACAGCTATGATTTGTGGCTTCTCCATTTCCAGTGTCTATTCACTCAGTGACCTCATTTTGACTGGGATAGAGTTAAGTTTCTTTACTGTAGCCTGTATGGGGCTGTCCAGGTTTGGGCTGGAATAGAGTTAAAGTTTCTTTTTGGTAACTAGAGTAGTGCTCTGGTTTGGGTTCAGCTGCAGTTTGGTATGAGAATGCTGAGAGCACACCAATGTTTTTGGCTGCTGCTGAGATTTCAAGGACTCTCCAACGGCCCATGTCCTGCCCATGTGCAGGTGCACAAGAAGCGGGGAGGGAGCATGGCCAGAGGGCAGACCCAAATTGGCCAATGAAATATTCCATATCATGTGACATCATGCTCACTATATAGAGGTGGGGTGGTTGGGAAGGGGCTCTCTCTCTCGCTCGCTTCCAGGATTGCGAATGCATTTTGGTATTTCGGGATCGCTAGCCGGGAACGGGCTGGGTATTGGTCAGTGGGTGGTGAGCAATTGCACTGTGCATTAACCATTTATATTGACTATTACTGTCATTGTTTCTATTTTATTACCATTGTTAAACTGTTCCTCTCTCAACCTGCAAGTCTCCCGTTATCTCTTCAATTCCCTCCCCTGTTCCTAGGTTGAGGGAAATGGTGGGTGAGTGGCTGCATGGTGTTTGGCTGCTGACAAGGCTCAAACAACAACAGTGACTGTAGTTTGGATTTGTGATGAAAACAGGGTTGATAACACAGGGATGTTTCACTTATTGCTGAGCAGGGCTTACGGAGCATCAAGGTCCTTTCTGCCTCTCACACTGCCCTCTTGGAATGCAAGCTGGAGGTGCACAAGACCATGGGAGGGGACACAGCTGAGATAGCTGACCCCAAATGACCAGATTGATATTCCAGTCCTTATAATGTCATGTTCAGCATGTAAAGCTGTGTGAAGAAGGAGGAAGGGAAGACATACAGAGTGATAGCATTTGTCTTTCCAAGCCACTGTTACATGTGATGGAACCCTACTCTCCTGGACATGGCTGAAGACCTGCCTGCTGAGGGGAAGTGCTGAATGGATTCCTTGTTTTGCTTTGCTTCAGTGTGTGTCTTTTGCTTTACCTATTAAACTGTCTTTAACTCAACCCATGAGTTTTCTCACTTTTACCCTTACAATTCTCTCCCCCATCCCACTGTGGAGGAATGAGTGAGAGGCTGTGCAGTGCTGAGCTGCCTACTCGGGTAACCCCACGACACTCAGTTATCTCATTAATATTTTTCATTGAAATATCTGGATGTAACAATATTAGACAGAACCCTTTTTATATATGTTCCTGAAGAGAAAGATATTCCATTCCAAGTAACAATTGATAGTGTTAGTCTAGTTGCTTGTTCTGAATGACCCCTTGGTCATTTTACATGTAGACTTCAGGAACATCTAACATCAAGGAGCTGAGGAAGATTAGATTCAGCAGGCTATCATGAGGCTGCTATCTCTGTCTCTTATCTCAGACTTCTGTGTCTGTCTTTGGAATGACATAAGGCACCATATGTGACCTCAAACACAATAGTTCGATGTTTCAGTTTAGGCAGATAAAGCCAGTCAAGAATCACTCCCTACTCTCAGTTGACTGTGTTGAGCATGAGCAGAATTGAGCTGCCTGACCATAGACACCTGAAGGCATTTCAGATGTCCTAGGGAGCTGGAAATGCCTATTCAGGCCTGACATATGATACAGGACCAATGGAGACCTCTCCATTTCTGGCATGGCAGCTGGAGACCAGATATACAACAGTACCTACAAAATCACCTCATACTTCATGAAGGCTTATGAGAAGGGCAGTTCAGAGGACGCAGATTTGCGGCTAGTTCAGTACAGCCCCTGAGCAATCTGGTTCTTCTTTGTGTGGGAGATTGGACTAGAGTGCTCCAGAGATCTCTTCTAAGCTAATTTACTCTGTGACTCCATGAATTAGATAGTTTTGTTTTTACCAGGATCTAGCCCGCTGCATTTGCTGTTTCTGAGGTGGATTAAGATACATGGTCATGGGAAGAAGAGCAGTGCAACCTATCACTACAAAGAACTACATCATTGGAGAAGTGGCAGGCTGCCATGTTAAATCTTATTTGTAAACAGAAGTCTATAAAGGTTTCTGGCAACTACAGTGCTGTCTGACTCCCATCCCTAATAACTTTCTGGAGTTCCCAGTAAAGAATAAGAAATTGGAGGCACTCTCACAACTAGAGAGTTCAATGAAGACTCAGCCTAGCTGAGCAATCAGGTTGCTTTTCCTCTCTGTTTTGCAATGGGTTTTAAGTCACTTGTGTGTTGGTTCAAGGGCATTAGCATGTTCTGTGTTCTTTAGATAATGGTCTGCTCATTGGTCATCTGGATTTTATATCCAACAGGCATTTTGTGTGTCAAAGTTCAGTTCTGTTCAGTAGGAACAAAACTACAAACTTCAGCTAAAGAGTGATTTGCAGGAAACAGTGCCAGAGGGACCCAAAAGGACATGGGTCTTCCCTGAGTCTTTGTTCACCTTTGCCAATCTCAGATACATTGGTGGGTCTGAACTGGCACTAGACATCTATGTTTAGGCAACATAATTGCAACTTAGAACACCAATATCAATTATCAAACGTAGATACCTAGTTCATATGTGGACAGCTACATTTAGATCTTTGTCTCAGACTGAATCTCACCGTATGAAAAGACTGAGGACTTGTATCATGAGACATTTGTGTAAAGAGATGGTGGAGATGTGATATATTAATGCAAGTCAGATTCTGGTTAAAAATTGACTCAAAATTTAACGGTGGTGCTCATTAAAAAACAAGTTGAGTATCAAATCAGGCTCCACCAAGGTCTGCACCCCCTGTATGAGAGTAGCCATAACCCTGAGATCACTGATGCAAAACTGAAGGAATAAATTATCTTCCACCTCCACAATGCACAGGACAAAATCTGCTAAATTTAAATTCCATGGAAGAAATGACTGCAGAAAATAACCGTGACAGCCTGGAAACAAGGATCCTTCAGCATTCACTGTCATTGCTGTCTTAGGAGGTCTCCAGATGCCACTTCAGAAAGGCACGTCTCCTGTAAGACTTGGGGTGTAGGACCAGCCCCATGTAGACGTGTTGCATGTCCTGAAGAATCTTCAAGAGCAACAGTTGCCTATGTTTAGGCAACTAAATTGCATTTTACCTGGCAAAAATTTAGGATTCAGAAGATCTTGTGGAGCAGACAGCTCTGTCGGGGCTCTTAAGAGCACATTACTCGACCACAAGGGTTCAAAGCATGGCAGGGAGGTGAAGCACTGCATTACGTCACTTTACAGAGCCTCTCAGACTCTTCTTCAAGCACAGGTAGCATGTTCTCCACCCAAGAAGTGAAGTGTAGACACATTACTTGTGGTAGGATTTCTTGGGGATCAGGGACTTGCACTGATTCTACAGGGTTTGGACAATCCAGGCTGGGTCTCTGAGCAGAAAACTGCCACGTGAATATCTTTTCTTTGAGGTCACCTGGGAAGGCAAGAATGAGGAAGTCAAGCTAGTGCTTCCTTCCTGTTGAATGCCCAGATACACTAACTGCAGAGCAGATTTAGTTTGTATACACGTACTAACGATGCAGACCTATCACAGCACTTCCGGGTGTGTGATAAGTGCCTTTAGCCAATAGATTGTAAAGCATAAAGCACGTGACTGTCTGGCTCTGTATATCTTGGAGCTATTCGGGCAAATAAAGGAGAACGACTTTCATCACATCGGTGTGATGTCGTTACTTGGGTCTTGACTCTGTAGGGGGTCCCTCCTACAATTACTATGTTTTAAATTACTCTGGTTTAAAACTTTTTTTTTTTTTTTTAATTTATTTCCCTTCAGAATTCTGATAGTTCCATCCAGAAGACTGATAGAAAGAGGTTACCTTTATGGGGTGTTGTGCATTTGTTGGGGTGTGTGTATTTGAATTCATGACGTGAAGTTGGACTTTGTATGTAAGTACAAAGTCCACAGTGCAGTGGTCCAGAACAAAACCTCAGAGCATGATGATCACTGAAATGCACTGTAAGGACTGAAACTATATTCAGAAAAAAGACTCTACAGAAATTGTTCTTAATACAAACATATCATTTATCAAATCATGGCATGGAATGGCTCCCTTCTCCATACATGCTGCAAGGATTCAAAAAGAATGCATATAGAAAAGGCTGGGGTAGAGGGAAATATTTTAAGCTAAGGTATTCAACTATGCCTAATACAGAATGTGATCAAGAATGTGTAATACAAAAATTGCAATTAAGCATTAAATTTGTCCAAGAAAATAATATGATCTTTCATGTCACAACAAATTGCTATACTTTTAAAAAATCATTCCTCTTTAACTGAGCACACTCTCATGGTTGATTCTTTGGCTGAGTTTTTAAAGAATGGATAAACTTCTTCCGAGAATGCACAGTCTTTAAACATGAACATCACAGACATGTCAGTAACATTGAAAAAAGTCAAAGTTTTCTCTTCATAATTAAGGTAAACTCCGACTTTTCTGGGACTTTTCTGCACTTCTACTCGTGTCCATGGATCAGTTCTTGCCCAGTAACCTTTTAAATATAAGCCCAGAGCCCAGAATCCTTCTTTAGGTGAGAAAGAAAATATTCCTTTCCTTGGAGCAGACTTTCTGGCTACTCCCAGGTCCCAGTCATTGCTTTTTTCAACATCCACCTCCCAGTAATGTTTCCCAGAGGAGAAACCTTCTGAGCCCAGCACACAGACAGATGAATCAAAACTCTCTTCTTTCTGCATCACTTTCTGGACCTGTGATTTATGCGTGAAACTCTTCTTGTCCACAGTAACAGACAAGTTTGGATGGGCTGTGTCCCCATCGATCTTGATGTCATCTACAACAAATAGATATTTAGTACTTTATAAATACTCCTCTAAAGCAAATACGCAAGAAGGGATGGAAAATGTACTGTACTGCATTTCATTCTGAAAATCTCCCTACTACTAGTCTAGAAAGACCTCTAAGCCTGGAGTGAAGGGCTACACTCAGACATATAAATGATACATTAACTTTCAAATATCTCACTGCCAAGTGAAATATCTCCATATCACTGATGTTTGTAGACTCACGATCCAGTCCATGCCCAAGCACTGATTCTGTAGTATTTAGAGATTTCAAGTCAGTGAGTACAGAAATAAGTAAATACATCACTTTACCTGCATTGCCACGAGCCTTTCTGAATTCTGAAAGCAAATAATGGGACAAAACCAAAACAAACCAAAACCAAAAAAAAAAAAAAAAAAAAAAAACACACAAAGTAAGAAGAAACAAACTCCACACATTGACAGAAAATATTGTCCAACTCCAAGCTGAGAAATCTCAGTTTGAGCTGAAGATTAGAACTGTGCAGGTCAACTCATACTCAGATTCCCTCTTGCTCTCTCAAACCCTGTGATTACCTGCAAGGTCTGAAGAAGGATCTGAAGCTGGGATAGGTTTCCCGCTTCAGAACTACTTTCTCTCTCAGGTCCCAATTTGCTGCCTTGCCGGCATTTTACATGGATACCTCACCAGCCACACTCCATAGTTCAAACCATGTGAGATCACTGGTAAGCACCCCAACATTTGTTGCGACAGAGAAAAACAGTACCCCCTGTGAAACTCTCCACCGCCATCAGCCCCCATCAGGGCATTCCCTCAACATACACATCCCTCACTCTCCTACCAACACCAAAGCCAGCCACCAGCCAGCAACAACCTGTGAAGACACCTAAATCCCAACTAACTAGCATGCACAGCTTCCAGGGAGACAGCAACACTTACCAATCTCCTTCTTCAGGTGCTCTGCAAGAAGAGAAGGGGAACAGCTTCCTTAAAACCCTGACTCAAAGGAACACAGGAGCACTCTAGTCACAAGAACATCGAACTACACCTTCTGAATGCACAATGGGCAACGAGAACAGCCCAGGAACAGTCCAGGACTCCAGAAGTAGGACAAACCTCGTAGAGTAAACTCTCCATTGCAGAGCTGACACCACAGGCAGACAAGGACACTAACCCAGAATATCAACACTTACTACTGTGCCTCCAAAAGACAATTCATTCTGGCATTGTCCACCTCAGGGAAGGATGGAAAACTCTGGAATGCTCACGGTACTTGTGGGCAGCAGGAGTGACTTGCCCTCCACTGTCCCACCTGGGCACAGCATCCCTCAAGCCTCTCACTCACATGGCCCCAGGGAGCCAGCAACACTCACCAATCTCCTTCTGGTTTTCTGTAAGAAAACAAGAGCAAGAATGAATATCTTGCTCAGCACCACGACTGTAAGGAAAAAGGGTCAAAATCACCCACGCGGGACCACGGGAGTGACAGAGGCAGCAAAGCCCTCGTGTCTCAGAGCACCATCACCATTGGGATCTGCAGGGAGGTCTTGTCCCATGAGTCCTCAACCAGGAACAAGGGAGGACAGGGGCACAGCGCATCCCTCTTTCAGAGAACATGCGTGCAGGCCTCCTGGTAGTCTTTGGAGCCAGACCCAGATCATGCTCCCTGCCTGACTGCCCATGCTGCACCGCTCCCACAGCGGCCCTTCTCAGCACAGCATGGGAAGTCTTCAGCAAGGCCAGCATGACCTCCACGAACACCCACCAACACCCAGGGCTCCCTTGGGCACTGAGCAGTCGTGGCAGTGAGCTGCTTGCACTCACCCTTATTGGCATCACGTGCTGCCTTGTGTTGCGACTGAAGCTCCGCTGCAAGTGAGGGGTAGGAGAAGGGAGAGCAATCAGGGCTGTCCAGGCAGGTGCTGCTGCCAGCAGTGGCGACAGGGGCTCCCTTGGCTCTGGGCACAGCTGCATCCAGTGCCTGGACTAGGCTGAGACCCACTGCCCTCCCACCCACTCCCTACACCTCAGGACAATGCCCCTGCCTGCCACAGACACCCTGCATGGCGGCTGCCTCCACCACCAGCACAGCCACATGCCTTCATTGGCACATCACGTGCTGAAGGACACGGCACCTCCCCGCGACCGGCACCCGGCAACCCAGAAGCGGCAGTACCCCCACCTCAGCCTCCCTGCCCCTTCTTCCTGCCTCACACAGGCAATTCAGCCTGACACTTCCCTACTTGCCAGGGGACCGTGTTCCCTCTCCCTGGGGATGGATTCTCTCTCTTGGGCTACCACTTCTCCCCTTGACTCAGCAGCAAGGACATGGAGCCGAGACAGCCAACAGGGCCCCCAGTCACATGAATATCATTCCAACCCTGCCGAATGCATGCTGGACCAGGAGAACAGCTGGGTACCCCGGGAGTAGGACCACCCTGGCACTGTCAAGTCTCCACTAATGAGCTTGCACAATGGGCGGGCGAAGACACAAAACTCTGAACCTCCACACTTACCAATCTGCCTCTGAAGACATGCTGAAAGGCAAAGACACCATAAACAGTAACTCCACAGCAGCTACTATACAACCCTCCCACAAAAAGGAAGAGTCAAAAGGAAGCTCGCAACTGGCCATGGGGCGCTGCCTTGGCAAAGCCCAAGGCAGGAGGCACCAGCTGACATGCTGGGCTTTGGGCACTAGCAGGGTGCCTCATTGTGGCACGCAGGAGCAGTTGGCATTGCTGAAGGATCCCTCCTCCCCTGTCCCAAGGCCTCTATCCCATTGGGGAAGGCATTCTGCTGAGCAGAAAGACTCACAGTTCCTTTCACGCTGTTCCTCTGCTGAGTCAACGTGGTCACATGGAGCAGACAGAAAGTTAAGGCAAGACCCAGAAGGTCCTTGCAATCCAGTCCACTCTGGGACAATCCACCCAGGGAAGGGTGAAAATCTCCTCCGGCATGGTGCATGGCTCACGGTCTTGTGGGCAGCAGGAGTGACTTGCCCTCCACTGTCCCACCTGGGCACAGCATCCCTCAAGCCGCTCACTCACATGGCCCCAGGGAGCCAGCAACACTCACCAATCTCCTTCTGGTTTTCTGTAAGAAAACAAGAGCAAGAATGAACATCTTGCTCAGCACCACGACTGTAAGGAAAAAGGGTCAAAATCACCCACGCGGGACCACGGGAGTGACAGAGGCAGCAAAGCCCTCGTGTCTCAGAGCACCATCACCATTGGGATCTGAAGGGAGGTCTTGTCCCATGAGTCCTCAACCAGGAACAAGGGAGGACAGGGGCACAGCGCATCCCTCTTTCAGAGAACATGCGTGCAGGCCTCCTGGTAGTCTTTGGAGCCAGACCCAGATCATGCTCCCTGCCTGACTGCCCATGCTGCACCGCTCCCACAGCGGCCCTTCTCAGCACAGCATGGGAAGTCTTCAGCAAGGCCAGCATGACCTCCACGAACACCCACCAACACCCAGGGCTCCCTTGGGCACTGAGCAGTCGTGGCAGTGAGCTGCTTGCACTCACCCTTATTGGCATCACGTGCTGCCTTGTGTTGCGACTGAAGCTCCGCTGCAAGTGAGGGGTAGGAGAAGGGAGAGCAATCAGGGCTGTCCAGGCAGGTGCTGCTGCCAGCAGTGGCGACAGGGGCTCCCTTGGCTCTGGGCACAGCTGCATCCAGTGCCTGGACTAGGCTGAGACCCACTGCCCTCCCACCCACTCCCTACACCTCAGGACAATGCCCCTGCCTGCCACAGACACCCTGCATGGTGGCTGCCTCCACCACCAGCACAGCCACATGCCTTCATTGGCACATCACGTGCTGAAGGACACGGCACCTCCCCGCGACCAGCACCCGGCAACCCAGAAGCGGCAGTACCCCCACCTCAGCCTCCCTGCCCCTTCTTCCTGCCTTACACAGGCAATTCAGCCTGACACTTCCCTACTTGCCAGGGGACTGTGTTCCCTCTCCCTGGGGATGGATTCTCTCTCTTGGGCTACCACTTCTCCCCTTGACTCAGCAGCAAGGACATGGAGCCGAGACAGCAACAGGGCCCCCAGTCACATGAATATCATTCCAACCCTGCCGAATGCATGCTGGACCAAGAGAACAGCTGGGTACCCCGGGAGTAGGACCACCCTGGCACTGTCAAGTCTCCACTAATGAGCTTGCACAATGGGCGGGCGAAGACACAAAACTCTGAACCTCCACACTTACCAATCTGCCTCTGAAGACATGCTGAAAGGCAAAGACACCATAAACAGTAACTCCACAGCAGCTACTATACAACCCTCCCACAAAAAGGAAGAGTCAAAAGGAAGCTCGCAACTGGCCATGGGGCGCTGCCTTGGCAAAGCCCAAGGCAGGAGGCACCAGCTGACATGCTGGGCTTTGGGCACTAGCAGGGTGCCTCATTGTGGCACGCAGGAGCAGTTGGCATTGCTGAAGGATCCCTCCTCCCCTGTCCCAAGGCCTCTATCCCATTGGGGAAGGCATTCTGCTGAGCAGAAAGACTCACAGTTCCTTTCACGCTGTTCCTCTGCTGAGTCAACGTGGTCACAGGAGCAGACAGAAAGTTAAGGCAAGACCCAGAAGGTCCTTGCAATCCAGTCCACTCTGGGACAATCCACCCAGGGAAGGGTGAAAATCTCCTCCGGCATGGTGCATGGCTCACGGTCTTGTGGGCAGCAGAGTGACTTGCCCTCCACTGTCCCACCTGGGCACAGCATCCCTCAAGCCGCTCACTCACATGGCCCCAGGGAGCCAGCAACACTCACCAATCTCCTTCTGGTTTTCTGTAAGAAAACAAGAGCAAGAATGAACATCTTGCTCAGCACCACGACTGTAAGGAAAAAGGGGCAAAATCACCCACGCGGGACCACGGGAGTGACAGAGGCAGCAAAGCCCTCGTGTCTCAGAGCACCATCACCATTGGGATCTGAAGGGAGGTCTTGTCCCATGAGTCCTCAACCAGGAACAAGGGAGGACAGGGGCACAGCGCATCCCTCTTTCAGAGAACATGCGTGCAGGCCTCCTGGTAGTCTTTGGAGCCAGACCCAGATCATGCTCCCTGCCTGACTGCCCATGCTGCACCGCTCCCACAGCGGCCCTTCTCAGCACAGCATGGGAAGTCTTCAGCAAGGCCAGCATGACCTCCACGAACACCCACCAACACCCAGGGCTCCCTTGGGCACTGAGCAGTCGTGGCAGTGAGCTGCTTGCACTCACCCTTATTGGCATCACGTGCTGCCCTGTGTTGCGACAGGAGCTCCTCTGCAAGTGAGGGGTAGGAGAAGGGAGAGCAATCAGGGCTGTCCAGGCAGGTGCTGCTGCCAGCAGTGGCGACAGGGGCTCCCTTGGCTCTGGGCACAGCTGCATCCAGTGCCTGGACTAGGCTGAGACCCACTGCCCTCCCACCCACTCCCTACACCTCAGGACAATGCCCCTGCCTGCCACAGACACCCTGCATGGCGGCTGCCTCCACCACCAGCACAGCCACATGCCTTCATTGGCACATCACGTGCTGAAGGACACAGCACCTCCCCGCGACCGGCACCCGGCAACCCAGAAGCGGCAGTACCCCCACCTCAGCCTCCCTGCCCCTTCTTCCTGCCTCACACAGGCAATTCAGCCTGACACTTCCCTACTTGCCAGGGGACCGTGTTCCCTCTCCCTGGGGATGGATTCTCTCTCTTGGGCTACCACTTCTCCCCTTGACTCAGCAGCAAGGACATGGAGCCGAGACAGCAACAGGGCCCCCAGTCACATGAATATCATTCCAACCCTGCCGAATGCATGCTGGACCAGGAGAACAGCTGGGTACCCCGGGAGTAGGACCACCCTGGCACTGTCAAGTCTCCACTAATGAGCTTGCACAATGGGCGGGCGAGGACACAAAACTCTGAACCTCCACACTTACCAATCTGCCTCTGAAGATATGCTGAAAGGAAAAGACACCATAAACAGTAACTCCACAGCAGCTACTTTGGGGAGACACCCCCCCCCCCATAAAAAGGAATTATCAAAATCCAGTCCTGAATTGGATGTGAGAATTATTGTTTACTGCCAAGAACTGTGTAATGGGGTCTCTGGCATGGGACAACAGCTTACCTGGTAAAATCATGAGAACCAGGAAATAGATAATCCAGGACAAGCTACTGTCTTCTGAAAAATGGAGAAAAAAGCAAATATAAAAACACATCAATTTTTTTGCAGTATAGCAGAGGCACACACAGAGTGGATCTCGGGTCACATAATCTGCACTATTTCATCATGCTTAGCAGAAGAACATTTTCAGTAAAATCATTAATCTGGGAATGTGATGAGGATTACAAAAAGTCTTAAAGAAAGCTAAAATGAGACACTGATAATTGCGTTTTAAATTCACTGCTTGTGTCCAAGAATTTTCCACATACACACATAGAAAACCAGATATGAGAAAAACTGGGAAACATTTGGGTTTTTCTCCTCTTGGCAAGTTTTTTATTATTCTTAGTCTTCACGGTTTTTATCTATTTTTATTCAAGAGGTCACTATCTCTGAAGCAAGCAATATTGACCTAAGCAATGCCATAAAAGCTTAAGACACGTTAAACTTTGAAGCTTTCACTGAGAAGACATTTCAGAGGAAAACTAAGCCTTAGCCTTGTTTTTCAGTGCCCCTTTTCAGGCAGAATAACCCTCCAGTAGCCTAATGCCAAAGTCTTTCCCTGCTGGTATAAATTTCAAAAAAACTTCTCTGCCAACACTGAAATATAGAGGTTCACACCGGGAAACTGCCTAGTGAGCACAGGAGCCCACTGTTTTCCCATTGCAGCCACAGTTCTGATAGTGGGTGCTTTGACTGCAGATTCACTGCCTTCCTCAAAGTGTTGTTGAATAGACACTTCTTAGGCCAAATCACACTCCCTAACTATTGTACCCTTTACTCTTTACAATATTAAATCATATCAACTTTCTTTAGATATATGTACTTTGCATTTTATACTGAATGGTCATGCTTACTTAAGCACGACTATTATAAAGGAGCCTAGGTCATTGCAAGGAGGACAGACCCACCTGCAGATAAGGACCTTTGTTTCTCTGAATCTTAAATCTATCTAGAATCATAAAGGGTATTCCTGGACTACCAAGATACCACCAGCATCATATCCCCCCTAACACCTCTGCAATACCCTCCCATTATCTGGTGTCATAGATAAGCAACTGTAGCAAGACCACCTCCAGGGACTTCTAAAGCATTAAAGAACCCGATGGCTGATGACACCATGGAATTATCATTGCTTTGGAAGCAGTAGTGTGTGTGTTAAGTAGCAACTAGTCAAATCGGGTTGTAACTGAATACTTGGAAGGTATAAGAACCATGTGTAAAACCACTGTTGTGTTTCCCAGTTTGGCTGGAAACCTCACGCGCATGAATAAAAGAACTACTTTTGCAATTCTATACTTTGCATCCCAGTTTCTCCCCTTGGTCAGCACAGGCCAGTTGCAAATTTTTGTGACACTCCCAAACGGATTCAAATACTGAATGTTGTAGGAAACTGAGTGAAATAATTCACAGCGTTAGGCCTAGCCTGCTCATTAGTGGAAGAAGATGCGGTATCCAAGTGAAAAGAGAGTAGCTTTACTTGCTCGGAGAAGGACAAAGTACATGATAGAAGACTTAATTGCTGCTTACCTGACTGTTGAGAAATCTGTGGACTGCGTTCCCTATCAGTGATCACAAAAGAAGGTGGCGGTTGTCCACAAGGTATCTCTATGGAGCTTTCTATTGAGAAAATATTGTCCATCTCCTGTTGAATGCTTGTCTGGGCCAGTGAAGATAGGTTTTCTCCTTGGGGATTGACCCACATCACTTTGGGCTTTACATAGGATCCTCTTATTCTGGCATTGTATGTACAAGCACCTGGCAGTGGCACCATAATTTCATTCATGGAACCTGTAACAGAGACAATTTAGCACCACCACATCTGGCACAACACAGAAATACCAAGTATGCCATGAAAGAGATCTCACAGAAAACCTGACCTCCCTTTTGTTGTTGTTTCATCTTTAACCAAAACCACCTGTCTTTTGAACATTTAATTTTCAGTAATTCCATGCCTGAAAGAGTGCTATGGGCTTTCTGTGCGTAAGAGTGAAGCTGCTGGAATAAGTGAAAACAGACAGGATTGTGTCCAAGAAGCTCTTCCCAAACCATAAGGGACACAGCCTGTTGCTTCAGGTAAGAAGGTAAAAACCAGGAGCGATGCTAGAGATAAAAATACTCAGGTTCAGGCTGTTAAAAATATGGGAAAGCTATGAGCCCCTTAAGCTATGGCTGAACTCAGCCCAAATAGGGAGAGCAGTGAGAAGACTGCTCTCAGTGATTGCATGGGTCATCGTTTCATGGTGTTCCCCTTAAGATGACGCAAGACCAAGCCAAATCTCCATCACCCAACAACAAAGATTTCTCCTGAATGGTAAGATTCTGGCAGGATTCAGGGAAGGTGCCAAGACCTGTCCAATTTCAGCTCTTCTAGCAATCATGGAGTGGTCTGATTCCCTCAACAAAGTAGATGCAGGTGCAAAAATGTGACCTACCTGATCGGCTTCTCTTGCTTTTGACGAGTTTGACTACACACACCACATCTACATTATCACAAGGCACTGTGATGGTGCTCTGCACTGTGAAAAGGTCCCTCTCACTCCAGGTTACATTTGTCTTGGCCTCCACATTTATTGTGTCTCCTCCATAGTTCGTCCAAATGACTTCAGGCTCTGGGTACCACTGTTTTGACTTACATGTGTAGCGACACATATTCTCCTCTTGCAGATCCCTGTCCAAGGTTGGCTTATTCCCCATTGCTGTAACAAAGTTAGTCAATGAGTATGAAACACAGTTAGACTTACTGCAGAACAACTACAACAAAAACAAAATAAGCCATCAAAACTCAGAAAGCCTCAATATGTTGGTCTAAGAATTCCTAGCTCATAAAAACAACTATACCTGGTCAGATCAAAGGGGCCATTTACCTAGACTCCAACAGTGGTGAGCCCTAGGGCATCGTATCACAGAGATGTAGTGAACCCAAATGAGCTTGCATGATTGAAGGTCAGGAAGAGCATCTGGGAGTTTGTAAAATAGATGATCACTTTCCGTGTGACTGTCCTGGGTTGAGTGAGTGGTGGAGTTTTTTGGTGGCAGGGGAGGGGGCTATCGGGGCAGCCCCCTGTGAGAAGCTTCTTGAAGCTCCCCCAGCTCCAAGTCAGCTCCACTTCTGTTTGGAAAATTGAGCCAATCGGCTGCGCCTCTGTGATAACGTATTTAAGAAGGGACATGGTGACGGGCAGTGGGACTTGTGAGGAGGAGTCACTGCAGCTGCGTGAACACCAAGGTCAGTGGAGGAACAGAGGAAGAAAGGAGGGGGGAGGTGTGCCGGAGCAGAGACCCCCCTGTATCCTGTGGTGAGACAGTAGGGCGGCCCCCCCCTGCCACCCATGAAGATCTACAGTGGAGCAGACACTGATTTATGGCCTGTGGCTCCTGCTCAGCTGATCAAGGTTCTGTGCCCAAAGAAGGCCGGGGTCTCATGGGAAAAGGTAGCCCTGCTGCTGTAATTCAGTGCTGGGAGGATTGCAGCATGTGGGGGTGTCCCACGCCAGAGCAGCTCGGGAAGGGCTGCAGACATGGGAGAGAATCCAGTCGGAGGAAGTTAGTGACCCATGAAGGAGCAGTGTGGGGAACACTGCGGCCTGTGGGAGGAACTCATGTCAGAGAAAGTTTGTGGAGGACTGTCTCCTGTGAGAGGGGGACCACGATGGAGCAGGAGGAACAAGTTTCGGACACTCCCCTCACCGAAGATAAGGGAAGTGGCAGCACTGACTGCACCCCCCATTCCCTGCCCCTGCGCCGCTGGGGGAGGAGGTAGAGATATCAGGAGCAGAGCTGAGCCCGGGAAGAAGGGAGGGGTGGGGGGGAGGTGTTCTCAAGATGTGGCAATGCTTCTCACTGTCCTACTCTGTTAAGTGTTGTCAGTGTCTGTAATAAATGTATGTTCTTTTTTTCTTCCCCTAACGAGTCTGCCTCTTGCTTGTGATCATAAAGGGAAATTTTCCCCCATCCCAGTCCTATCTTGAACCCCAAGCCTGGCTCTCTGTCCCTTCTCATTGCCAGAGGGGAAGGGAGAGAGAGCTGCTGCATTGTGGTTGGCTGCCAACCAGGCCTAAACCACGACAGTGACTGAGGGGGATATGATACAGGTCCGTAAAGAAACCATGGTGTGAGAGGAAGAAGAGCAAAGAACCACTGTCTGTCATGTCCAACACCAAAACAGGAGGTATCAAGTCAGCCTAGCACATGGTAGGGTCAAAAGAAAAGAAATGGGCCTTCGCATACAACACTGACCTGCAGGAAAGGCTGATGCCAGATTTGTGGATGCTAGATGATTCCATGCACTCAAACTAAGCTCCAGAGTGTGACTTGTCAAACAGGAGATCGGATCTGATAATGTGCTTTTTAGAAGTGCTTCCAGGTTTGCGTTTCAGAGAGGTTTCCTGAGAGGCAGGATTTCTAGTGAGGAGGGAAAAGGGGCCTTTACCATATCATTATGTGCACTGCACATCTGTGAATACCCTCCCTAAGAGCTCTGAGCAATTGTTTGTTTTCATTTTAGAAAGCAAAACAGCCCTAACTGGAGAGGCTGAACATTCATAATCCTGAAGAAGAACACAACTATAGATTGTTTATAGAGGGATATTCAGCACCTATATAGGGATTTCTGTAAGGACATTCAGCATTTTAATGCAGTTTCCTGTTGTACTGTTTCCCACATGACAAGCCACATGCCCTGTCCTCCTCAGTGCCCAGCTTTTAAATATTCAGAATTGAAGCAAGTCTTTTTGGCTACTTCCCACACCTTTGCTTATTTCCCCATTTATCCAAGTAACCATCATGCATGATTGAGCCTTGCTTTCCTGGAGATGGCTGAACACCTGCCTGTCGATGGGAAGTATTGAATGAATTCCTCACATTGCTCTGATTGTGTGCAGAGCTTTTGCTTTACCTGTTAAAGTGTCTTTACCTCAAGCCATGAATTTTTTGTACTTTTACCCTTCCAATTCTCACCCACACCCCACTGGGGCAGGGGGTGAACAAGCAGCTACGTGATGCTTAGCTGTCTACTGGGGTTAAGCCATGACAAGGTCCCAGTTGTCCAGCAAGGAGCAAGCAGAGCCACAGGGTCATGATGGGAACTGAGCTCAACATGGTCATAGCAGGTCGCATTTCACTGTGAAAATCTCACTGCTTACCTGTAACATTAAGGTGAGTAGTAGCCTCCTGTGTGACAACACTGCTATTCACTGCACAGACATAAGTCCCCTCGTCGGCTACTTGCACGTGCCGGATAACCAGAAGAAGTGCTCTTCCCTGCCAGCGTCCCTCAGTCCTGCACAGTTCTTCATCCCAGCACTGCTCCACCACCCCACCCAGGCTGGAGGAAGAGCACAGTGGAGTTGCCCTCCCCTTTTCCATTCTGTACCAATGCACGTTCATATTAGAGGGGATGCTGCCTGTCAGCTGGCAGGACAGAGTCACGTGCCCTCCAGCAAGGGCAACCAGAGGTTCAATGCTGATGATGATAGGCACTTCACCTGCAAGGAAGAGGTGGGAAGAAATGCATTGGTTTTCCCCACAAGTGTGATCTTTTTATAGAGGGAGGAAAGCTGCACGTGTTAGCTGAACCCAAAACAGAAAGCTGAGCTCTAGGGTAGAGTCTTACAGTCCCTTACAGTAGTGAGGACAGGGTCTTGATTCATTGATACCAGCTCCTGCAGGCACAGACATGCTTTACAGACACCAAATTTCCCGGTTATGTATACATCATCTGTGTTACATACTCATGGAGCATACTCATGGGCATTGAGGGTAGTGATTTATGCAGGAAGAAAATACATACGCTGGTGAGAGGACTTCAGACCAAAGCTGACTGAACTGGGAGCAAGTTACCACACATGAGGTGCAAAGATCTGTGCACTTCACAAATTTACAACCTGCAAAGCAATCTGCACAGGCTCTTGCTCTCTACAGGTCCTGGCTCTGTGACCCAGGAGAGACTGAATACACCGTCCTCATATCTGTAGTAAGAGAATGCATCTACACTGCTTCCCTGAAACAGCTGAAGCCCCAGAGCAGCACTGCAGTGTCTCACATCATCAAGACGGCTGATGTTATCCCAAAGTTGGGCCTGGAGGTGTCAGATACCATGTATGATCTACAGTGCATTTGTCCTTTTAGGGACTATGAAGTCAAGTGCAGGCATGATATCTTAGGATAACTGTCTAGCTGGATGCAGTACGGAGTTTCTTACCTGTAAACCACATCCCAATTACAATACATGTTAGAAGAATACAGAACAGGAATAGTACGTGCTTGTATTTTAAGAGCTTATTCCAGAAATCCTCCAAAGGCGTCTTGTGGGTCAAGCCAGATCGCTTCATTCCCCCTGGAAATGGACGATGTGCTGTGCAGATAAGAAAGAATTCCCAAGATCAGTGAAACGTAAAGGAAAGAATCTTGCTAAAGACAGAAACACAAGGGCAGCACCTGGATCTGCCTGCTGCATTCATGTCCTGTGGGAACGTATCACGTTGGCAGGGTCACCCACAGCTCCTGGCTCCTTTTTCTGAGGGAAAAGCAGCCCATTCCTGTGCCCTGACAGTCCCTGCTCTTGGGCACAGGAACATCTGACTTCAGAATGATTTGCAGACTACTAGGCTGTCATGCAATGACTCTCTTGTTGGATGTGTCTAGGAATCTGGGCTGTGCTTCATACTTCCCAGCCTACTTTCATTCTGTAGCAGTGTGTCACTTGGGTAAGAACACTATCCTGGACAAGGATGTGACAGAGATTCACAGAAAGTCCTGCTTTTGCTTTGTTACAGATGAGCAGGTGCCATCCTAATGCATAAAAGAGAGAGAATGGGAGTGACTGCCTGGTCTGGTTCTCCCAGTCTCCTGGGAAACTTTGCCAGGGTCCCATCTCGGAAGGCTTGAGAAAAGCAATGTATTCCACAGAGGTATAACACTGCAGCTCATCTGTGCCCAGTCAATTGCGACTTTACTCCAACCAGCCACTCTCATCTGTCTTTTACAACTCCTCACAGATCCTGGCTAATCAATCAGCACACCCCATTTCCTATCGCTGTGGCTGCATTATCTTGCACCTGCAAGGCCAGCACAGTGCAGGAAGAGATCAGACATCATACTAATCACCTCAAAGGCAGGTTAGAGGACAATGAGGCATCCCCAGGGGACCCCCTCTCTTTGCTTTACTGTGCCCTGAACCACACGGAGCTGCTTGGCACAAAAGCTCAGCTACATCCCAAAATGCACAATTACCCACATTCTGTGTAACAATTGGCATTTACAGCACCTTTGCATAATAGTCTATTTGAAGGACAGACTGCTAACATTTATGTCTCAACCATTCAACCTTTTGAAGGATTGAAAACAGCAAAATGTGTATCTGACTGTCACTGATCTGTATGTGTTTGTGCTCTTCTACAGCCCTTAGTTCCGTCCTATGCAATATATTTATACCTCTGTTACAACGATCATTTTCACAGATATTCACCATTCCAAATAAGAAGATGCTACACTTTCAATCAACCACATTGGAAGAACATTATATAACACCAAAGTATCTGTTCAATGCAGTAAAGTGACTAAAACCAGAGTACAAATCTCAGAACAGTACCTGACTAACATAAATACTCTTATCTTTCGTTGTTAAAATACTACTTCCTTACTAATGTTGTTATCCTTCACTTTCTTCCTTCTCATTCATGAATACTCAGAGATCACTTGTGAAGTAGTAAATAGAATATACGTGCCCCAAAACACACCTAGAATATCTTCTTTAGCTATTTTCATTGTGTGTCCTTTCAAGCATTAAAAAAGTCTTGTACTCTTACCTCTTGGAAGGAGTGTCTTGGCTCAAGATTTTAACAAACAAAGGAAGGTGATTCAAAGTACCACTGAAGTAGGAGGAACAATTCTGCACCACTGGGAAAATGATAAGAAAGGCCTGTCACTGCGGAGCCGCAGATGAACAACACGCCGAGACGGGTTCAGTGTGGAGGATAGAGCATAAATCAACGTGTGTCTTTATTGGTCCAGGGTACATATATTTATACAGACAACGATAATTATTATGCCTACTAGTCACAAGCTGATTGGCTTAAGCTCTAAAGGTCATATTCACACGGTCCACCTACTTGCAGTTAGCTAACAGCCCAAGCTTCTCATAACACTAAGTTTCTCATGCTACTATTTCTGATTCCTATTGACTTGTTTTCGATACACAACAGTACCATAACACAATGTTTCTCAGACCACCATTACCATAACACTGGGTTTCTCAGACCACTATTCCTAATTCCCCTTAACCTGTTTTCGACACACCACGGTACACAGGGCTGAAGCGTCCTTGACATTCTTCATGTATCAGCAGCTGCGAGCAGCTGCAGGCAAACCCTAGTGAGGCCCAGCATCAGCAGCTAGAGCAGGCTCTGATCATACAATTGCTCGGTGGGCTCAGGACCCTTGTCTCTGAGCCATTCTCCAACAATTCCCCCTTTTTCTTTTCGTATGAGCAGAGCCTGCACCAACGTTCGTTCAAAGATTTGCTTAATACATGAGAAGGCACAACTTAAGCATGCAAGCTCACAGTCTATTGGCTAAAGGCACTTATCACGCACCCGGAAGTGCTGTGATAGGTCTGCATCGTTAGCACACGTGAACAAACTAAATCTACTTTGCGGTTAGTGTATCCAGGCATTCAAACAGGGAGGAAGCACTAGATTGACTTCCTCCTTCTTGCCCTTCCAGGTGATCCCAAGGGCAGGATTACCACGGGGCAGTTTTCTGCTCAGAGACCCAGCCTGGATTGTCCAAACCCTGTAGGATCAGTGCATGACCCTGATCCCCCCCCCCCCCCCCCAAAAAAAAATTCCTACCAGCTTTTCCCCCTTTTTCTTTTTGGACAATCCAGACTCCTTTTAACGTTTGAATCATAGCATTCATAAAGCATTTCCACACAGACCCCAGTACCATCATGACAATCATAATGACAATCAGCATTACCAGTCCATGCATCAACAAAGCTTTCAGCCACCCAGTAATTTCCAAGTTTTGCAGATTTGTAACCATCATCAGTCCGTTTTCCAAATTCCCAAGTCTCATAACCATTCTGTCAGTCCATTTTCCAGTCTTATGCAGTCTTATGTAGCAAGAAAATTATCCTTACAGTTTTAAAAGTGTCCGCAATTGTAACAACAGAGTATGCAATACAGAATGTAATACAGGTTTCACCATGCTATGTTCTAAACATTGCAATGAACCCACAACATACAATGAATCTGATACTACATGAACAAGTTTTTGATACCAGTGTTGATGTTGAACAACATACAATGACAGTTCAGAGTTCTAAAGTTCATAAGGAGTGTCCAAACCCCCTGAGGAGAATCTTGTGGTGTTGTGTTCCCGGGTGTCCCCCATCCGTTGTCACTACTGGGCAGGCCAACGCCCCAGCAGCATGCCAGTCCCCTTCTAACAAGGCACCCCGAATCACCCCACTCCATCGGGGCTGAGCTAAAAGCGGAGCTGGTTCTGGTGAGGGTGACGGGAGTGGGTGTGGGGGGGCTGCCGGCAGCGCTTCCTTTTCTTGTCATTGTAAATGCAGAGTTCTGTTCTGTAGCTCAACTTCTGTAATTTTCTGTCAAGCTCTCGGACTCTGTCCCTGTCCCTTACCGGTGTGTGACCCAGGTGCTTTAATTCGGACACAGCCACCGTTTTTCTCTCCGACTCAGACGCTGACGCGCCGTCAGGGGTGGAACCATCCGAAGGGGGGGGGGGGGGGGCAGAGGTTCGGGCGGCAGCCGCTCCCCCCTGTCCCCCCGCACCGCCTGATTCCTCTGCAGCTTCTTGCACGGTGGAGCAAACAGGAACACTTGGTGACATGCCCTTAATAGAGCGGAGCTGCTGATTAACCCCGAAGAAGGTGGCTAATCGTGACGGACGGTTGGTTTCGGCAGGGACCGGTGGAGACGGTACAGAGCCGACAGCCGCCATAGCAGCAGCAGCTACTTTCTTTTCTGCTGGCATCTCCCTCAGGGCTTTTACGGGCGTTCGCCAGACCAGCCCTTGCTGTCGTGCTTCACTGCCTTTATTGCCTCTAGTGATAGTCTCATCCCACAATAAATCACCTACTTCGTGCCACTCCTGTTGGTTAAATATTAGCGAGGGGCCATCGTCCCTCTGCCCCTCCGCCTCTGGGGGGGGGGGGGGGGGGGGGGGCATGACTGTAAAGATACTGGGGGGGGGCTGGACTTTCCCTATTCACATTAACTGTAACTGGCCCTCCTGTTGATGGTACAGGAATACAATCACTGTCAAAAAGCATAGGTCCGGATGCCTCACTATCTGGTGTAACTGTGGAACTTTCCCCCCCCAACTTTGTAGTTGCCACAGATGCAAGGTTTTTTTCAAGCTGATACCGCTTAATATTATTCACCACGTCCCACCACGGTTTCATCATTTTCCTTGCAGCTTTATCTTCGTCAATTACCATATCCCACAAAATATCACCTAATCGTCTCCACTCGTCAACATCAAAAAGAGAATTAGGTTCCTGAAAACATCCTTTGACCCGTCCTAATGCTACTAAACCCGCGAGTGATTTTATACAATCCACTCCCTGCTTTTCTAAAAAGAGCTGTAATAAATCCAGGGCTACCTCCTGTTCCATCTTGTCAAGCTGGTGCTCCTTGATTAAGGCACCTCCGGTCCTGTGCTCCCTGGATAAGGCACAGTACCGTTACTGCCGACCCACCCCTGATTAAGGCACCGTCGGCCCTTTGCTCCTTGACTAAAGTACAAAAATACTCCCGCCGGCCTGCGCTCCCTGTTTGAGGCACAAAAAATACTCCCGCCGGCTTGTGCTCCCTGTTTAAGGCACAAAAAATACTCCCGCCGGCTTGTGCTCCCTGCTTAAGGCACAAAAAATACTCCCGCCGGCCTGTGCTCCCTGTTTAAGGCACAAAAAATACTCCTGCCGGCCTGTGCTCCCTGTTTAAGGCACAAAATTACCCCCTTACTTTGATAAGTTGCTGATGCTCCGTGACTAAGGCACCAGGTGCAGCTCTTGCCAGCAGCCCTTGCGGAGAGCGACCCTCTATCTCAGTTCAGGTCCTCGGAACGACCTGTCGGAGGCCCACTGTCCGATCGTTCTTGATTCGGCTAGGCGCTGCTGTCTCAGATATTTCCCAGCGTTTGTTTCTGCCGCCGCTGTATGCAGCACCTTTCTGTGTCAGCTTCCGTCGCCCCTCTGCGTCAGTTCCGGCGCCCCCCCGCTTCCACTTCCGGGGCCACCCTGGGCTCGCCTCCAGCGCCCCCTCGCGTCCGCCCCCGGGGCTGCTCAGTGTCCACCTGTGGCGTCCCTTCGCGTCCACCCCCGGGGCTGCCGCAGTCGGCTCCGGTGTCTTTCTGCTTCCGTTCGTGGGGCCACTCACTTCTGGTCTTGGGGCCGGTCCGCCTCCGCTCTCCAGGGCTGGTCACTTCCGTTCTTTCGGGGCCGGTCCTCCTCCGCTCTGCGGGGCCAGTCCCTCCACTCTGCGGGGCCAGTCCCTCCGCTCTGCGGGGCCGGTCCCACCAGCTTCTCTCCGCGTACTCTCCCTGGGCTGCCGGGGCCGGTGCCTCTCCGTCTCAGCTCATGGACCCCAGACGCTGCTGTATTTGGTGTTTCTCCGGGTCCATTCTCGAATTCCTCGGTCGTTGCTGTTTTCTCCGTGTCTGCCACTCCATCTGTGTTATTCTTCTAGGCAAGTCCCTGTTCAGGCGCCAATTTGCGGAGCCGCGGACGAATGACATGCCGAGACGGGTTCAGTGTGGAAGATAGAGCATCAATCAACGTGTGTCTTTATTGGTCCAGGGTACATATATTTATACAGACAACGATAATTATTATGCCTACTAGACACTAGCTGATTGGCTTAAGCTCTAAAGGTGGTATTCGCACAGTCCACCTACTTGCAGTTAGCTTACAGCACAAGCTTCTCATAACACTAAGTTTCTCATGCCACTATTTCTGATTCCTCTTGACTTGTTTTCAATACACGACAGTACCATAACACAATGTTTCTCAGACCACCGTTACCATAACACTGGGTTTCTCAGACCACTATTCCTAATTCCCCTTAACCTGTTTTCGACACACCACGGTACACAGGGCTGAAGCGTCCTTGACATTCTTCATGTATCAGCAGCTGCGAGCAGCTGCAGGCAAACCCTAGTGAGGCTCAGCATCAGCAGCTAGAGCAGGCTCTGATCATACAATTGCTCGGTGGGCTCAGGACCCTTGTCTCTGAGCCATTCTCCAACAATTCCCCCTTTTTCTTTTCGTATGAGCAGAGCCTGCACCAACGTTCGTTCAAAGTTTTTCTTAATACATGACAAGGCACAACTTAGGCATGCAGGCTTACAATCTACTGGCTAAAGGCACAGGACCCTTGTCTCTGAGCCATTCTCCAACACGTCACCTGTTGGTTCACTGAAGGTTTCTGATAGAAGGTAAGAGGTAAGTACAAGAGAGTTATTTCCTGGGTGACATCAAGGTCAGAGAAGGAGGGAGGTGCTCCAAATGTTAGAGCAGGAATCCACCTGCAGCCTTTGGAGAGGACCATGGCAGAGCAGGTGCCCACACGGCAGCCCCTGGAAGTCCCTGCACTGCAGCAGGTGGGTATTCCCTGAAAAAAAAGCCTGTGGAGAGCCCATGTAGGAGCAGGTTTATCCTGAAAAGCTGCAGCCCACAGAGGGTCCACATGGGAGCAAGGGAAAGGTGTGAGGAGGAAGGTCTGGCAGGGAGGAACCATTCTGGACTGACCACAACCCCCCATCCTCTATCCCCCTGTGTCACTCAGCAGTGAGGGGTGTCAGAGGAGTTGGGAGTAAATGAGTAAAGTTGAGCCTGGGAAAAAGAAGCATGAGGGGAAAGTGTTTTATACTTTGTCTCTGTTTCTCACTATCCAAATCTATTCTAACTAGCAGTAAATTCAATTCATTATC